TTTTTTTTTTTAAGCAAAATGGCAACAAAAAGAGATTTTGTCCCATTATTAAAGCACTATCCAACTACATTACAAAGTCAAAAGGCAAGTCGTTCGAATGTTTTCAGGATTTCTAAATAATTTGGGAAATGTATAGCCAAGATTTACAAAACACTAAAAATCTAAGATGAAATATTTTCACTCACTTTTCAAGGCGTAGTGTTGCTGATAGTCCTTTCAAACCACTTTAAGAGAATGATACTTTCCCTTTGCTAACATATTTAAGTTTTGATGAAGAAAGGATGTCACACATTCCTAACTTTACGATTAAGATTACACTTTTTTTATTTTTAATATAAATTTAAAAGCCACTTTATATTTAAATCTTTTAAAAAATTATTTCTTAATTTTTAAGAAAAAAAGGAGAAATTTAAGAAACCATGAAATTTAAATAATAATTTCATGAATTTTGCAATATGGATGTGGTTGCATGCCAAAATCCAATTAAATTGTTATTTAACTCCGATGTTTAACTTACTAGACTCTGCATAGTGGGGTTTCTTTCTCATAAAATTTTAAAGAGATTTAATATCATTTGATCCCAATAGATTTTAAGCAATTTCAAATATATTAAAAATTATATACACTAAAACTTTACAGAAACAAATTACTACAAATGAGTACTTAAAATTCCATTTACAGCAAAGAAATCAGAAAAGTAGAGCCTATGGAAATAAATCGTACTCATTATTATTACAAAAATATAGAAACTGCATTAAGAAAAATAAAAAAATGGTTTCAAAATAGATCAACTTGATCAATAGTTAAATTTGCAAGCAGGTAAAATAGATCCTATGGAAAAAGCAGCACATCAAGTTGCACCATAAACAATCCTTCAGAACAAAGCAATAAGTCCATAGCATGTCAGTTAATTACCTTTCTTTACTTTTTACAAAAATGGAATTCCAATAATAATAAGGTATTCTCTTTCCTACTATAGATAATAAATATATCATAATAAAACTACTTGAAACTAAAGGTTCTATCAAAAATTATGAGTGTCAATTTGCTTCAACGGGTCAGGTTTAATAAGGTATTCTCTTTCCTACTATAGATAATAAATGTATCATAATAAAACTACTTGAAACAAAAGGTTCTATATAAAATTATGAGTGTCAATTTGGTTCAACGGATCAGGTTAGGGTCATACTCAAGTTTGGGTCAAACTCGAATAGGTATGACCCAAACTCAACATGAATGTTATATGGATCAAGAATCAAAACCCAAACCTGATCAGCCTTCAACCTGCCAACCCGAGCCCGGCCAGTATAAACGGTTTAACATTAGAAATAACAGCTATTTGAGTTAAAATTGAATCAATTTCGAGTCAATTCAAGGTTGGCGAGTAAATTACAAGTCGATCTAGGATTGGCATGTCATTTTCGGATTGGCGGGACAACCCGAACCCGACCCAAAAAAACTAAACATGTTAGGATCTTTAGCATAAAGACAACCCGAAAATTATTCAAGCAAACCGAACCCGAATTTTTTGACTCGAGTTCGAGTCGAGTTAGCATGTCGGGTCAATTTTTTACACCCCTATCTGAAATAGTTTTAAGGGCAGTGTGTTTTTTTTAAAGATGTGACTACCAAAACAATTTGTTTGCCATGAGTCATGAAAAATATTGATTATAACTAATTAGCATGATTTTCTCGATGTAAAACAGAAAAAAATACCCCAAACTATTTTCTCCTGAAATAAAAAGCAAAAGGCTCGAAAATAACTAGACAGAATTTGAATAAAAATACATACTAAGTTATACAAAAGTAGCTCGAGCTTTAAAAAATGAAAACAATGAGTAAAATTCAAATTTCATTACAATAAGTAACCCAAAAATGAGCTTGGAGACAAACAATTAGATAATAATTTGAGTGAAGCTGAAATTAATGGGTCATAATATATAAAATTAAATTCATGAAACATTTTTATAGATCCAAATAAAATCCAGATCATATGAGGCAATTAAAAAATAAATTACAAAATATTGGATAAAGTATTGAATACGAAATTCTGATTTCATAATATTAAAAAAAAACGGCTAGAAACAACAATAGAGATCACCTCCATCCATTGAGCCAGAAAAAATTCCTTTTAAATGATTTGGATTTTTTGCCATGCAGGATACAGCATCTATGTGCCCCTCCAATGCTCCAACAAATGGTCTAGCAAAAATCTGATGAATAATAAATTAACATCAATTGGAAATTAAATAGAACTGAGAAACCTTTTTAAAGAAAAAATCAGTGTATAAAGAATTACCTTCTCCAACTTAGCAGCATTTAAAGCTCTCGTATATTCAACAGCCTTTTCTTGAGTCCGAAGATTCGGATCATAATTTCGAAAAACTTTCTAATAAAATCAGTAAAACAATGTAAGTTCATAATCTGCAGAAGCTGCAATAAACATGCTAGAAAATTTTCAGTGAAAGTAATTAAGGAAAAAAATACATATGTAGAATACAATTCTTATGTAGTTGCATATCTCACTCTTAAACTTAAATAGCACTCTATGCTTTAAACCTATCCATGAATGGATATATATCACTTTTAAAAAGTGAAAATTGTGTATTTTTTATTTGTTATTAAAGATTTGAGTGGTTTATGTGTAAATATGAAAGTTTAGTGTAAAATATGCAAAAGCATAAGAATTGTGTGCTATTTATGTGCAAACTAGTATGCAAACAGCCATTTCAATAATCCCCAAAATCTCTGTCCGGATTAGCTAGCACAAATACCACACTCATATTCGACTCAGGGGCCCTAAATGTTCTATTGATTAAAACAAATAAGCACTCTGACAAGTACGGGAATTTTTCAAAGTTCTCATATTTCTACTCATCAGTTACAATAACAGAGTTCATGTCATGTAAAAAACATAAAAAACTACTATAGAAAATCAGTATTAATATAAACAACAGGCACAAACAGCAGGGGACTCTCCTCTCCCTCCTTTTTTGAGAGGGAAGTTATCCATCAGGAACAGCAGTCTCCCAACACAGGGACCCATCATGGGGCGGCGAGCACAGTGACGGTACAAGACGACAGCTGCATTTCCGAAAATGAGAATAGCGGAACACGCATCGCGATCAGTGCAACCCTTAGCATTCACACACCAAAATCACGTGATAAGGAGACATCGCCGAACCCGTCAATATGGTCAGCCGCCAAAAATCCCAAAGTTCAGGGAACTCAACCTACCCAAGGACATCGCGAAGGGCGACTAGAATAGCGGTCGACCCTAAAATTCGTGATGCGCAGTTACGCCTAGCAAAATAATAATGATAGAAACAAAAAAAAATATAGTACAAATCACTTAAGATAAGTGATACGCATAAAAATGCATAAAAATACAAGTGATCCGAGCAACCGGTTAAGATAGATCAATAGACTGCTTGCTCCACCTTCACACCGCAAACCCAAGCACCTAAAGTCGAAAAGACCTAGTCACCAGAGATGATTATCTGCTCGTTAGCGACAAAATCCGCGAAAGAGTGTAGATCAAATCATCCCAAAGACAAGTCCTCAAGGATAATCCTAGCGGGTGGCAAAAGAAACAAACTCGGCTGAGACAAAGGCCCAATCGATCGAACGGCGTGAGGGTATGTAGTGACCTAAGATCGATGCAAACCAGTTAGTCGTTATGTTTAACTGATCATATAGACAACGGTTCAAGGAATGATTCGGCTCTCAATCAACAATTTAAGTTAAAGTAAATCCTCCAAAAACTAAATAACGGTCGGCCAGAACATGATATCTGAGGCTCAAGGTTTAGCTCTAAAAGTGACAGAGGCACATGCCAGCGACAAAATTTACAACAAGCCACAAAGGTCGCCCCAGATGCAAGTCTCTCCAGAGGCAACAACCCAATCGAGCGGGATAAACAGAGTGCTTGAATCGGTCGCCCCAAACAACAGATCGACTCGTAAGATGAGCACACGATCAATCAAAACATAACCAATCCAAAATAAGCAAAATGTTAATGAGTCTTTTTCCAAAATAAGTAAATAGAATTACTAATATTCTCGCTTTTACATTTCCTCAAAAAAAAAAAGAGAAAAGAGAAGATCCTTCTTTCACAAGTATCTACGAACAACAGAGCCCTAACGGGTGGTCAATCCTTCCTCACTGCCCAAACTGCCCTCCTCTCCAAAAACTCCGTTTGAATTATCAGATGTTAAGGCAGAAAACTCTTCCGGGTCGGAGTGCTTTGGGTCGACCAAGCCGTGATGGATGAATCATTGGATGGCATAATCCACCCCGCACCTGAGCTCAGTCACCATCCTTGGAAACGGACAAGGTAATTCTTTCCTTCAGCTCAAAAACCACATTCTTCAAAGCCTCTGTCGCGACAAAAGATTCCTAATTAGTCTTACCCGCGTTCTCCAGTTTCAGCTGCAAACGGTCTCAGTTGTCACAGACCCTCCTTAACTCCACCTCAAGAGAGTTGATCTTCTTCAGAGCCTCTATCAAGGTCGGAGCCTGGAAGTGAGAGGTCTATGCAACCATCAAAAGGAGCCGAGAACTATTCAGACAGAGCTCTTGGCGACCAAATTTTTTCAAGGTTCGATAGAGGTTCTCAGACCATAACAACTCCAATAGGAGCGACGACATGCCACTATTCTCGGCTGATGGATGGTGTCAGTCCCTCGACGTGTCCAAAAGACTGAACCGCCGACCAGTGTCGATTCAAATCCATCAGGGCTGCTCTTGCAAGTTTCCATTCAAAGGCCTCTCTACTCCTTTTCAACGGAGGGGGAGGAGGAACCGCCACACCTTCCACCGGCTCTTTTCCTCCCCCGCAGACGGTCTTCCCCTCCTGTGAAGGCAAGGGATCATAGCCAGGAGACCAAGCCACCCCCGATGACGATGCAATTAAGGAAGAGGAGAGGGGTCGGCTGACCTCTGCCCGCTCGGACTGGGCAACGAAAGACGAACCACCGACCTGCGAGTTCGGTGGAGCAGCGAAAATCGATGACGCACTGGACGACACGTCTTCTTTCGAGGAAGAAGGGTCTGCGGCCGTTGTCTCATCCTCAAAAATAAAACTTGTCTTATCTCCTTCCCCTACATCAAAAAAATGAGAAGCACATTTTCAAGCGATAACGATGATCTTGTTGGTCACCTTATCTTGAATAATAACACTATGATCAAACATGGAGGCAAAGTATCTCGAGGCCACTGTAAGAAAGCGGGTCCCGTCTCCGACAAAAGTACCTGACCCCGAGGGACGCTCTCGCTTGCAGTGCTTGGCGGCCAACTTTTCTTTTGTCGCCTTCACTCGGACATCCTCTTCAATATCTGAGAGACGTCACAGCTCCTCAGTCATCTCACCCGTCAGCACACGGGTAACCATCGCCTCGGTTGTATAATGAGGAAAAGAGAAATGACAGTCGAATAACAACTTCCCGCTAACCTTCATGTTCTCAGGAGGAGACGTCGGCTTAGGCACCGCGCGCTCTATCGCCTTGATTTGGATCCCCCAAGCGCCAGAGCAACAACCGACTAGAAACTTCTTCTTTCAGTGTTTTTTTTTTATATACTCATAGCAAGTGGAGTTCCTTGCCCACCAAGAGCATGGCAAATACCTCCTTATCGACTTTAAACGTAAAAAAATACTTAAAAAGATTGATTGATAACGAAATATGCTCCCGCCAACAAAAAAAGAACGAAAGTCATTATTGCGGCCACGGAGTTAGGTAGCACTTCAGTCGGGATAACCCCATATGTATTGAATACACTCTGGAGCTCGTCGCACCGAGGTGACCGGAGGCCATACTTGAATTGGTCTCGATAAAATACCAGGTCTTTGCTCACGATGTTAGTCGTGCGAGCCGACCATGGAAACTTCCGAAGAGTGAAGCTGGCATGAAAAACATATCTCATCTCCAGTTCCTTCACCTCACTTTTTGTCAAAAACGAAGAATCAGCCTCCTTGACAGATGCCGAAGAGGGTGGGGGAATATTTCAGAGCCATCACGGAACAAGAATATGAAAAAAAAAAACAGAGAGAGACTGAAGGCACGGAGAAAGAAAATAGAACACGTAAAGTGGAAAAGAGGAGACCTTATCATATTTATAAGGCGAGCGCATAAAACGAAAATGAAGTCACATAATGATAAGTTGCACACCACACAACATTTCAAATTTATTTAAGTGTCGATTTATTGCAGATAGCATTATTATTGGTCTCTAACATAAATTTTTATGAATGGGTCCTTCAATGCCTCAGCCGGAACCCCCCCACCGACTTAACCTTTGAAGGACCATATTCCTGTCTGACCTAATCTGATCTATCCGACCAGCTTCACGATGGAACTTCTCCAGAGCAGACAACTAACAAAGCGCCTCCAGCCCGTGCAGCGCCTCGTTAACCTTTGAAGGACCATATTCCTGTCTGACCTAATCTGATCTATCCGACCAGCTTCACGATGGAACTTCTCCAGATCAGACAACTAACAAAGCGCCTCCAGCCCGTGTAGCGCCTCGGCTAAGCCACCTCAAAGGGCGATTAGCTCGGTCTGCATAGCCGCCATCTCTACATCCACGCGAGCAGACAACTCCTGCACAGAGTTCACGATCGGATCTTCGTCCGTTCCCTCCGAAAGACCAACCGACTCTGTCAGCAATCCAACCTCACCTGCCCTCCGCTCCACAGCTCCAGGAGATGGTGGTCGCTGTGTCAATTGTCCTTGTCGAGGGCTTATTGCAGGCAAAGAGTCGGGCGGTTGATGCCCCGACGGAGCATCCAAAGGCAAGAGCTTGTTGTGCTCGGCTTGAAGACAATACACCGCAATGGGTTTGAACTCTGCGGTGACCTTGGTGAGCCCGCCTTCCTCGCGACCCTCTGACCCAATCGACTCATCTGCATCCAACTCAATGTAACGAGGTTATAAAAAATAGCTAGTAATTATTAAAAGAGATTTCTAGCATACCCATGACTCTACCCATCTCAGAGATGGCCCTAGAAATGTTATCTCTCTCTTGCAATGAAGTGCCTCCGTCATTCTGGGTAGATGCTAAAGCAAGTCGACGTCGTCACTCCATCCGGCTCCTTTTCCCCGATGGCAACCTCCTCAGCAGTCATGTTTGCATTTGGCCCAAACGCCAAGGTCTCTTGGCGAACTTTTCTGGCGATTGTACCTCAGCGCTATCAAACGAGACGACCATGTCGATCGAAGTAGTTTCGGTCTGTAACTGTTTCTCTTTCTTCACAATTCTCTTCCTCTTTGTAGGAGGAACCTGAAAGCGAGCTTTCGAGAGCCTTTGAGTATCCGCGACGATCCGACTCGAACCATCAGCCATGATTTTCTTTGGTTACACTAAGAGAAGCTAACAACAAATGATGCAAGGCTCGGTTCATACCTACTTATAGAGCGCACTAGGCGCGGAACCCCAAAGAAAGTCAATTATTCAATTAGTTCATGGTTTTAATGTTAATAATTATTTACTAGTTTCCTTATCTGTATCGTAGTTGTCAATAAGCATAAAAACTTGAGGAACTAATATGTATGCACCAAAACTGTCAGCACGAATCTCAAAACAATCAAGCAACCCAGAACGGTGGTCGAAAATCAAGGCATCAGTCTACAGAAGCATAATCTCAGCCAATCATCCAACGACCGATAGCTCGGTCGAAGTCAACCGACACACTATAACGAGGGGATCAGTCAGCAGACCACTCCTACAGTCCGGGATCGTTTTAATTCCTCACAATGGGCACCCGACGACAACCTTTCGACCGACCGATTTTTTTTACTTCTGTAGGTCCGATCACCACTCGACTAGTCGCCTCGACCTTCAGATCAAACTCAAGCACGTCAATCAACCACTTACATCCATATTTGCATTCAAGTTGTAATACAGATTTAATAGTAAATAATTACGATTAAACTGTATTAAAGAGAGTTTCCATAATAGTTCTCTCCTTTCTATAGATGTACAAATACGCCCCTATAAATAGAGAGCGAGAAGGCGAATAAAGCGACCACTCCCCGTTTCTCAATAGAGATTTCCTCAATTACTCTCATCCTCCTTCGCTGGATTCTAACCCTAAGGCGTGTTTTCACAAAAGGACAATTTAGAATTCAACACTTTGAATTCTATAGATGGAAAGAAAACCAATATCATCGAATTCTTTGCTAGAGTAAATCATTGTAGAGAAAAACTAGAAAAAGGCTCAAATGTTCCAGTAATATGCATGCTCACCTGAAGGTCTTGGCTCCGCTCTCGGGTGAATTCGTCTGTGGAACGAGATATGACCTTCACCTTCATCTCTCCTCAGCTGGAAGCTAAAGGCCTAACAAATGAGTTGTTTGGTAGCAGGATTTTAGTAGGATTCAAGCGGGGCTTAAACTAAATCCAGCAAAACGGAAAAAATTACTACTTCAAACCCTCCAAAATTCCGTTTTCCCCCGTTTTTTTTCCTTAAATCCCAGATTTAGTAAATCCCGTTGGAAGACATTCTTCCGGAATTCAGCGCAGCTGAGAAATACGAGGGTTACCTTCCTCGATTGTCTCTGGCAGGAGCGAACCGGAAGGAGGAGAAAGATTGGAGTTTCGGAGGTCTTTGTACGCCGCGATCCAGTCGTTACCTTCCTAGTTAGCTCTAACTGGTGATGGTTTTAGGCGAAACCGGGAGTGAGGTGAGGATCGTCGGCGAGGGTTTAGGGCATGAGATGGAAAGAGATGGAAAGATTGTCGCGAGAGTGTTGCGCCTTTAATTTGATTGATTAATAACTCATAACTAATTATTATGATATCAATTTTTTTGTAATTAGATAAATTTACATGTTTAATTAATAAAAAATTAAAATTTCAAGTGTAATTAATTAAATAAATTTCTAATTTATTAAATAATTTACTAAATAGTTACATATTTTTTAAAATTTTTGAATTTAAATATGTCTGTTCGTAAAACCTAGGGACAAAAGAGAGATAATGAAAAAAAGTGAGTGAGAAAAGAAGAAAGGATAGGGATGTCAAGACGGCTCGTTATTTGTGAATAGACCCTTCGACTTGTTAAGTAGCTTATGTTCAGTTTGTTCACTAAGTAAATAAGCCAAACACGAATAACTTTCCTGCACTCGATATATAAACGAACCGAACACAAATCATATTTTATTCGTTTGTTGTAGATAAATAAGTGAGGGCTCTTGTTGTGGATAGATATTCGAGGGCACAAGAGAAGGCTTGGAGACCATTTTATGTGTGTGTGATTGTGAGTGTTATTTTGTGTTGAGAGATTTGAGAGATGTCAAGAAGGAAACTACATTGTAAAATGGAGGATCGTCTTGTAGCATATGGGTGTGATCTTTTCATTATCTGTGTAACTCTGATTTTGCTTTTAATGAAGGATATTGTGTTTTTGTCACATCTCTCTATGAACTAATTTTTCTTACTTTTTTTAGGTGATAATGTAAAAATTTAGTTGTAAATTTCTCATATCAATTAATCATGACACATTAACGTATTAACCTTAAAAACTTCTTTTACTTTCTTGTTGACTAATAAATAGTTAAAATAAATTGTGATACGGGATTATTAATTGTAGACTATAGGAACAATTAGGTTAATACACAATTTATTGTTGTAATTGGAATATTGTCATCAGGAAATTGCAATTATGTAAATGAATGAAGAATCTTGTGAGCTTTTATAGGGTTAAGGGGACTTTGGGTCTGTTTGGGGCAGCTGCAATTTATTGAATAATCTGCTGATAAGCTGGGTGTGATGACTATTACAAATTTTAATTTTTTTTGGAAAATCCAGGCCACTGTCAGAAAGTTCCCACCGCACCTAGATAGGTGCGGTGTGAAAACGTTGTTTTCGACGTTCTAAAAATGCATAAGATGTCAAACAGGGCTGGTGCATGAAAATGCACAACACCAAATAAGTTGCCCCAAACGAACCCTTTATTATAACATGAGACTCCAATGTCTCTTATGTTTAGGAAAAGAGCAATAAGTAAAATTCCTGATTGTCAGTAATTTTGAAGGAATTTAGTGTAAGAATTTAGAATTCTACAAATCCAATTTTAAAAAGGTTCTCCTTGTAGTCAAAACAAAAACTTTAGATTTCACTTTAATATCTCCGGGATTTTAAAAATCTTAAATATATATATATAGATTAAGACCAATAACCAGTAGAGTAATAATTGAACTATTTTAAAGTTTTTTTTTTAATGGTGAAATTGATAATACTGACTTATAATTCATACACTACTTAATTAACATGTATATTTATATGATTTACATATATATCATTACACCAAGTGTTGCATGTTGAGAGAATTTATGACGGTAGAGTGATATATTAACATATTTAGCATTATAAGTCTATCCAACACTTACACAGATATAAGAAGAACTGATAGAGGGAACAACAAGAGCTTTTTACTTAGAAAACCTGAAAAGATAAAAACTATGGGGTCTAACCCAATTTAAATATTTCAACTATGCTGATATAGGTTACAACTTTACTAGCCCTTGAATATTTGGGAGCAATAATACATAAGTGGGGATTATCTTATACTATGGAGGAGTGTCATAATATGTTAGGGAAGTGGAAACAACTCGGGGTGTTGTGAAGTAAGACTGATGATAGGGATGCATATGAAAAGCTGATGTCAGTATCATCGCAAAAACCGATAAGACATAGGTGGTCTGAAGCAATGACAATGGTGGCTATCAATGATTTTTTGAAAAAAAAATATATATTTATAATTCTCGCCCAAACTTTTATATCTCGGCTTTACAACATTCTTTTTAAAAAATTGTATATCTATATTGCTATTCATATCATTGAGGACACTCGCATTCATCCATATTCACATGGCTCAAAATACCACCCAATTCTTATGTATTTAAATATCTAACACCTAAACTTTAATTTTTACATCTATAACCTTTTACCCATGCACAAAAAAGCCGAATTTCACCACTTTAAACTTGAAATAATCATATTTTGTACATGTTATTAAAGAATTCAGTGTTATAAATAAATAAATAAAAATGTAAAGTTTAGGTGTTTGATATGCAAATGCATAGGAATTAACTGGTATGTATGTAAATGAGGTTCTCTATATAAATATAAAAGCATAGAAGCCATACACAAACAAATAAAATTCATATTTCATGTATATAATTCCTCACACAAATAACCTTCATCAATTTAATTTTATTACATATCCTTATTCCTATATATATATATATATATATATATCGGAGAATATTATAAGAGCCCCAGACACTATCATGTGTCTAAATATTTGACAACTGTCTTTACTACAGTAAATTGGTCATAAGAGGATTCAAACTTGTGACCTGAAGAAACTTACGACCTTCAAAAGAGACTGTTCTAACTACAGCTCACGATTATATATATATATTTATCCCCACACTAAAGCCAGAAGGGGCAGAAAGTAATCACATAATTAGCCCCAAAACAAGTAAAAGTACTCGTGGCATCATCATAAGGATAGCTATAAGCCTGCGGGCACAAACTCTTGAACCCCCTCGAATAATCCGTAGCCGTACAAGTCTGCGGATTGTTGTACTGCCCCGTACAACAGTACTGATCCGTACGGAACGCCAAACAGGGACTTTTGCACCCAATCACGCTCCCATCGCCGGCGAGCTGCTGCAGCTCCGCCGGACACCGCTGGTTGATATCGGCGGCGCAACTGGTGGCGCTGCAGCTGGAGACGTCGGGACTGATCCCCAGCGGCACATTGAAGCCGTCGACGAGACTGGTGTCGTAGAAGTCGTTGCCATTGGAGCCGTGGAGAGTGAACTCCGCGAGGGTGGCCGGAGGAATTCCGCCTGCGCCGGAGCAGGAGATGGAGCCGGGGGCGCAGGCCGCAGGCGCCGGACAGGCAGGAGAAGGCGCCGGCGGGGTTGGTGGAGCAGTGGGTGCGGGCCCAGATGCGGCCGGACCAGGTTTGGGGGACCCAGAAGGAGGTTGCTTGGCCGGGGTTGAGGGCGAAACCGGTGGTTTCGAGTGGCGGCGTGCCGCCGCCGGAGAGGGTCGCCGGCCAGACGGTGTATCGGCAGTTGTTTCGTATTGTGAAGGTTGCGGCTGAGACACCTGGTCAGATATGAACAGGGGAAGTTACATAGAGACCCGGTTAAATTTGCTATTTACAAATTTACCACTCCTTTTTTGTTTATTTTTTAAGTTCTCACTCAAATATCGAAATTCACGAAAAAATCTCAACCCTTGATTAGGATGCATTTTCTTAAAATTATATTGATATGATTGTAATATATGAATAATAAAAAAAAATTATATCGCATTCATTTTAAAGTAAATTAAATAAATATAAATTGTTGACATAATTATTATCTATAAATTTATTTGCCACTTAAATTTGTATTTAAGTCAGTAGAATTTAACATTAGCAGCCCATTTGGGGCAGCTTATTTGTTGCAGTGGTGTTTTAAAAACGCAATTGGTCTGTTTGGATAAACTTAGTTTTGACAGCTTATGCGTTTTCAAAAAGTTGAAAGCAGTGTTTTCACACTGCACATGTCCAGATGCAGCAGTGGCAGCTTTCTGGCAGTGGTCTGACTTTTTCAAAAAAATAAAAAATTGATAAAAAGGCAAGCATGAGAAATCAACAATTTATCTTATAATTTTTGCGATAATGTAATTATTAAAAGAGGCATTTACATAAATACACCCAAATCATTCATATTTACATATATATGTAACACTTAAATTTTGCTTTTTTACATCAAAAACACCAAATTATATCACATCACATAAAAAATATCATTACTATAATTTAAAAAAAAAGGGTGAAATACACCTCTGCATGCATAGATAAGATAGCATGTTTATAAAAATAGATGTTTTTTTGTGGTCTTAGATGTAAATACAAAAAAATTGATGGGTATGTATGTAAATCTTCCAAATAGAAAATAAACAAATAAATAGATTTACCATGAAGAAAAATTAGGGAGGCGAGGAGGAGAGAAAGGAGAGGAGGTTGTGGAGCAGTCGCCATGGAAGAGAGTTGAGGAAGAAGAGATGGAGGGTTGGATTTATAAGCAAGATAGTATTCTTTAATTGGAAATATATATATATAATTAAGGAAAATAATATTTTAAAAAAATATTTAATTTATTTCGTATAAATATTTTTTTTTTCCTATTTTTGATTATTAGATATATGTTAAGGGATGATTGGAGGCTCACTCATGGAGATGGCGGATTTGGTAATAAGTGGTTAATAGGGTTTTTGATAAATGTGATTAGTGGAGTAAAAATAGAATTAATGAATGAAATTAAAAACTATTTTAACTGTTAAGCAGCTTAAGAGGAGATTAATGCAATCAGCCCGATGAGCATCCGCGTCATCAAGAGAATGTGGATAGGGGTCAGGGGGTGTTAGATTTGGAAAAAGATATTGAGTTCTCGTGTTCCGAACAACGAATGCGATACACCGGAAGAGAGGGAGGAAAAAAAAAAAAAAAAAAACTGACCCTGATGTATCGTGTCTGTTGTCTGGACGTAGTTTTGCGTCCGGAGTACGGACGCAAGCTTTTTTCTTTGATTTGGGTTGGCAGAACTGGTATTTAGAACTCCAAATTCAACAAATTTATAGTGAAATTGATCGACTTGACAAGACAGACCCAATGCTAGCAAATTTGCTTCAATTTGAATTAAATCAAGCCCATATTGAGCTGTTATACCACTTTTGGAGGCTTTCAGTGTATAATTGTAATGTTAAATGAATTCTGAATCTCACAAAATTATAATCAAATCGAGTGTCTTGGCGAGACGAATCCAAAAGCCTAAGATCGCTCAATTCTGACATCATTAAATTACTCAAAAGTTTTGGAGCGATGAAGGAAAAAAAAAAAAAAAAACTGACCCTGATGTATCGTGTCTGTTGTCTGGACGTAGTTTTGCGTCCGGAGTACGGACGCAAGCTTTTTTCTTTGATTTGGGTTGGCAGAACTGGTATTTAGAACTCCGAATTCAACAAATTTATAGTGAAATTGATCGACTTGACAAGACAGACCCAATTCTAGCAAATTTGCTTCAATTTGAATTAAATCAAGCCCATATTGAGCTGTTAAACCACTTTTGGAGGCTTTCGGTGTATAATTAGAATGTTAAATGAATTCTGAATCTGACAAAATTATAATCAAATCGAGTGTCTTGGCGAGGCGAATCCAAGAAGCCTAAGATCGCTCAATTCCGACATCATTAAATTACTCAAAAGTTTACCAAACGTCGTCCAATTTAGAGAATCTCTCAAGACTGTCCAATAAAGTGGTCTCAATTTCTTTCTTATTTATAGAGATTTCTCTCCTAGACTCGATAAAAAGCTCTGCCCCTTTCCTAAGAGGGAACCAAGAATTTGAGCAAGAAGAAGATCAAAGCTTAGAGAACGAGCTGAAACATGACATCGCTTTTGCACCTGTAGTGTAGGAATTGAAAAAATTGAAGTAGAAAATGAAAAAAATAACACAGGAATTTATGAAGTTCGGCAATGTGCCTAGGTCCTCGGCAGAGCATCGATTTCACTATTCCATAAAAGATCGGAATATACCCATAAGGCTACACATTATATATACAGATAAAACCCATGAAAAAAAAGACATAAATACCTTTGTATCGTATCGCCGAGGTGTTGCCTTCGTACCCCCAACCCAATTAATGAAACTCCTCCGATTGGACAGATACTTCCGCTTCACTCCGCTCACGAGCTCCGCTACACTTGCTCACTCGCTCCGTTCCGCTCCAACATTTGCCCCTTATATGGTATATGAGCATATCTAACAACACCTATAGAAGATCCAATAAAAAATGTCAACCGCCACCTATAGGCCACCGCCAACCACTGTTGTGGATGATAGAAATAACAACATACATCACAAAGTCGCAAAGCAACATACAAAACGATGCATCATCCTGAACATCGTGTCAGTGTACCAAAACACTGACAATTGCTGCCCATTGCGACCGCTCCATATAAGGTGGCAATGATCTCTTCTATGCACGATCATTATAAGTCAAGAGATAAGAGTAACATTTTCTCGCCCGTGGGATAAGAATCTTTACAAGTAATCACTCATACAAGATTATTTCAACTATGACAAATTCTGTGGTTTTTTGTCTGTTACTTTTATTATCTAAGTATGTTGTATTCTCATGTAAAGCTAAGAAAATAATTAATTGTTCTGCCATCATGAATTCTCTAACACGAATTTATTATAATAAATGAACAAAAAAATAAACATTTAGATAATAAATACTAAAAAGCACTTGCTATAAAAATATCGCCCGTGGGATAAGAATCTTTACAAGTAATCACTTCAATTATGTCAAATTCTGTGTTTTTTTTTCATTCTAGATTTTTTGTGCGAAAACTTCTGGTGTTTTTGTCTGTTACTTTTATTATCTAAGTATGTTGTATTCTCATGTAAAACTAAGAAAATTATTAATTATTCTACTGTCATGAATTCTCTAAAACTAATTTATTATAATAAAAGAACAAAAAATTTAAATTTAAATAATAAATACTAAAAACACTTGCTATAAAAATTAAAATAAAAATTCTAAAATATTTAATTTATTCATACTCATAATATTAATTTTCAATGTAATTTAAGTACATTTTATATTAATAATTTTAAAATAAGCCGGTTGAAGGTCCAACAATTTGAGTCGGGGCTAGTAATAAATTGGCTCAACACACCAACCATTCATTGAGTAGAGCACGAGCCGGCTCACAAGTTGATTTGACTCAATTAAAACAAACCCAACTTAAAAAATACGAGTATATACATAGTACTCAATTCATATGTATTTATATATCACACCCCTAATCTTCAATCTACATATACGCCTCCATACCGATATATGAAAATGTGTATTTTATTTTTTAAAAGTTAAAATAATTATATTTAGTTATATTTTTTTTGTGATTTCAAAAATTTAAGTGATATAAATGGAAAAATAATAATAATAATAATAATAATAATAATTTAAGTTGACGCCTAAGCTTTGATTTTTCATGTACAAATCACCTTGCACAAGCTTGAAAGGGTGGCATAAATATAAAAAAGGTAAAGTTCGTGTAAGTACATAGGAATTGGGTGGGATTTATGGTATAAATAGGGTTGCAAAAGAACCGAGAGCTTGGCTAGTTCTAAATTAGTTATGTTGGAAATTGCTCTTGAACAATGTTTACGCTCGACTCGACTCGACTTACATAATTTTGTTCATGTTTGGCTCATGTTCGACTCAAAATTGACTCGTTTATATTAATTAAAAAAGTATATTCAAGGTGTTGAATTCAAATATGCACCAATCTTGTTTTATAAATGACGCTAAACAATTGTGATCAAATAAGTTGCAATTTAAACATATATATATAATTTCTTTATTCTGAGTTAAAATGAGTAGGAGCGTAAATGAACTAAGATAGAGCCAGCACAAGCTTTGTTCATGTTCGACTCGTTAAAAAATATCATTGTCGTGTTTGACTCTTTTGCTTAGCGAGCCGAACATGAGTTATTTGCAAACAAAGAGCTGATTTAATAGCTCTTATCACATAGTCGTAGAATGTTAAGAGTAGACACAAAATTCAAGTCTTATTATTTATATTAAAATATTCATTAAATAGACTTTAATATATGCTTATTATATTTTTTAAATTAATAAATTTAATTGATTATGTATATATATATTTCGAGTCAAAACGAGCCGAACACAACCACACAAAATTTTATTTGTGTTCGGCTCATTTATATATCAAGTGCAAAAAAAAAATATTCATATTCAACTCATGTACTCAGCGAAAAAAATGAAACACGAGCTACTTAACGAGCCGAACACAAGCCGTTTGCGCACAAATATCCATTTTGACAGCCCTAAAAATGAGTGGAACACAATCTAACAAAGAGTTATTCGTGTCCTGCTCATTTGTAATTCGAGTTTAAAAAATTCATCCGTGTTCAACTCCCTTAAGGCGTGAAACAACTCATAGCTTTCTTGACAGTTGTAGGTACAAACAGATAAAGTTCAGGTATTATATATGTAAACGCATAGGAATTGGTATGTAAATGCCCATAAAATTGCCAAAGCTAAAAAACTCAAACCCAAGTTGTCTAAAATCTCTTGCATAAGAGAATTCCCTCTCAAGACAACAAATGCAGCAAATGAATCAACGCAAGAAGAAAGATTACTATACACTCATGAAAACTATTTTTGTCCTGAAGAGCAAACAAATACAAACTAAATGTACATAAATTCATAAATAAATCAAATCTATAAGAAGTTAAGAGCAACAGGCACCACCAGCCAAGTTCTTATGGCTTTCCTGTCTCTGTTTCAGAAAGTTATTCTTTCCAATTGCAGAACCTTCTTCAAGCAGACTGGGCACCTCCAGAATCTGCTTTGTTAAACAAGCCCTTATCCAAATAAGCAGCTCTTAAATATCAAAATAACCCTTCAATTACATTAGAAAAACAAGACAAAAATCATGTTAAATGGCCCTCAATCATGGAGGACCTCTTGATTTTCTTAATAAATGATCTTGTTGGATTAGTGCGTGGCCAGAACCTATTTCATTTTAGAGGTGTCAAAATTGTCTACAATCGGGCGATTTATATGGATTCATTTTCGTCCCTGAGTCTATAAAAATGTTAAATTAGTTCTACATAAAAATTATTTTAGCCCAATTTAAAAGAGTATGAGGACTAAATTGACAATTTTTAACTCTGGAACTGAAATGACTAATTGCAATAATTTAGGGGATTATTTTAACATTTTTATGGATTCTTTTATTTATGTATTCGTGGTCCAAATTTAATTGAATTGCTTGCTGATTTTTTTTGATGGGGGGATTTGCATGCAAACCACTCAGTTCCTATGTATTTACATATCTAACACCCAAAATTCAATTTTTGCATGCATGCCACCTTACCTATGCATAAAATGGTGAATTTCAGGTTTTTAAAAGTTAAAACAGTGGTGTTTTTTATGAGATATTAATCATTTGAGTAGTATAAATGTAAAAAAATTAAAGTTTAGCTGTTAGATATCTAAATATATAGGAATTGGATGGTATGCATGTAAATGCCCCTTTCACTTTTTAAATAACAAGTTCCATGTGCCAAATCTCTACTGTTGTATCCTACAGATGAGATGATTAAAAATTTGGAAAATATGATATTTATCCAAAAGTGAGGGTTCTCGTGTGAAATTTTCCAATATGATTAGCTTCCCATACACATTAAAATGGCAGGATAAAACATTTTGAAAATGCTCATGAAAGAAATATTCAAATTATTATAAATATTAAAGGTAAAAACCCAAATTTTTTCAAGGAAAATTTATATATATATCACACAATTCTTATGTATGTACATATCTATAACCCAAAGTTTGATGTTTACACTTATAACGCCTTGGTTTCATGAACTTATGTATTAAAATGTGTCTCTCACTTTTAAAATGATAGTGATCGTGATATTTTTGATGTGATGGTGGTAATTGTGTTTGATATTTCATAATAATTCATACATGACCTACTCACCAGAGTCCTCTCTTGACTCGTACCTTTAGCGTAAGTTCTTCAAAACATCTCTCCACATTCGCCCTTGTTTTTGCACTGCATTCGAGAAACAAGCATCCATATTCCCGTGCAAATGCAATTCCTTCTTCTCTAGATACCACTCTGTCACTCTCCTGTTAAATTTGATTAAGAAAATGGTAAGATTTAAAATAGGAAAATTGTCATATAAAACACTTAATTCTTTTGAATTTAAAGTATATACATATCTAACACATAAATTTCAACTTTTACATATATGGGTGTATTTCACTTTTCAAAAGTTAAGACAATAGTATTTTTTATATCATAAGAAAGTTTGGGTGATTTAAATGTAAAAGGTTAATTTTAGGAGTTAGCTATGTAAATACACAGGAACTGGTATGCATGTAAATGTCGCTTTACAATATCATAAGCACTAAAACTTGCATATTTACACATCAATCATCATCATAATCATAAGCAACATCCCACATAGAATATGGAAATCGAGAACCCAGTGGAAAAATACAGTATTCTATCAACAGTAAAAAATTAGGAGTACAATTAAGGTCACACATTCAAAAAGAAAAAAAAAAAAAAACCGGAGCTTTTCATGAAAAGTTCCATGTTCCTGGGCATGTTCCAAGCATCTATACAAAAATAACATTTAAATACCTAAATTTACAAAATAGAAAATGTTTGTAAATTCCTAATTGCATTCTCAATTGGCAAAACTAGAATATGTTATACTAGTGAAGTCTCAAGGGATTACATGCAATATGAGAAACTTTTAGGAGCTATAAAAAATTTAAGCAAATGTAAATCACAATTAATAGGTCTAGAGAATTTTATGGAAATCTGAGAATCAAAGGAGAAGAGAAGATATCATACCATATCAACTTTATTGCCAACAAGCATTTTGATACAATCCTGATTAGTAGAATACAATTCTATTTCTTTGGCCCATATTTCTGATAGGTTTGTAAAAGTTTCTCTTCGGGTAACATCATAGACTGTAATGAAGAATAAATAGTTAGAACTTTGTGCAATTAGAAGTATACAACAACAACAACAAAGCCTTAATCCCACTACGTGGGGTCGGCTACATGAATCCTTTTTCTCCATTGCGTCCTATTTAGTGTCATATTTTCATTTAGTTCTAGTAAATTAAGATCATTTTTAATACAATAAGCCCAAGTCTTCCTAGGTCTACCTCTGCCTTTCTTAACACAAGTCGAATCTAAAACATCTACTCATCTAATCGGATCATCAGATGATCGACGTTATATCAATTGCAGTAAGAAATTAGAGCAACATGGGACAATGAAAAGGTGGTGCAGAAAGCTGTTTCCCATCAAGAAAAAGAAATGCCTCGCATTAAACCAATCTTAAAAAGAAATGTCAAGCAATCAATATGATCTTTTGTAGATTAATCAAGTCACTGGGAACAATGACATGAGGATCAATGTGATTGCAAAAAAATTAATAATGAAAGGGATAATTACATACATAATACTTGAACCATTGTCCTTTACAAAACTAGCACCTAGGTGATTTTTTTTGAACTATCAAACAAACGCATTTACGCATGCCACTATCAGACCATTGAGAACTTGATAAAAAATTAAAAATATGGGTTGCACTTTTATCATAAATTTTGATATTTGAGTGAAAACTTGAAAAATGAATGAAGAGGGTGCTAGATTTGTAAATAACATTTTGAAAAATCAGAGAGGAAACAGATTGTTGTGTGTGGATGGGACGGAGGGGGATGAGAGAGAGAGAAAGACATAAGTGCAACAGTCTATGATGAGAGAGATTATCATTCTTTGTTATGGATTAACAACAATATGAGAAGGTTTTGATGATAATGGCACTGATGCAGCAGAAGAGTGGGATTGGATGGATGGTACACATTTTTCGGGATTCTATCAAGCTAATATTCCTTCTTCGCCATAAATCATAAAAGGTAACGCAAAACAATTTAAAATACATGAAAAGAGTATTTAGAAAAGCAAAAGGTCAACAAGTTATCCATATAATAGTTGTGGTAAGGGTTGAACTTAAGGTACCAACTATTTTTCAGCAATGAAACTGTAAAAATCTGTCGAATTAAGGCGCCACAAATCTCCGCTTTATAAATCCTCCATTTGCAGTTTATGAAAGTTTTTTTGCACTTCTTGCCATGTTTTGTTTCAGTTACACCTTTTCCTTTCAATTCTCCTTGCATTAATTCTATCTCCATCCAAACCGAAACCCAATTTTATCATCATCATCATCCTCATCCCATCCTCATCCCAACCATTTTGGGATTTATGAATCCAACTCCACCATTCATGATAGGTGCCACGAGAGGTTTTAGTAGTACTTTGTGGATACTTTTTCACAGTTCTTGCTTTCTTTCTTTCTACTAAACCTAATCATTCAAATTCTTTTTGCATTAATTTTAGTTGTCCATCTAATTGGAGTTCTATTCCCTTGGTTGGACATTCTCAGGCCACAATATCTTTTATTCAATAGTATTGCTCACATCATCTCTCAAATAACTCGCACTCCCTGCTTCCTAATTTTACATTTTTCTTAAAATTTATATTTTACCCTTAATCAACTTGGTTGTCAATAATTTCTTTGTTGCCCAACTCACCGACTCATATAGCATAGTCAATCTGATTATAATTTACAAAATATCCTTTTACTCTCAAGATATTGTCTTGTTGCATGTTGATCAAGGCTTTGCTAATGAGGAAGCTTAGATTGAAAGCACTTTCTAGTTTTTCCCAAGGAGCCTTGTTGAATAATTTTTCAAAACTTAAATTTCCATTTATAAGAATTGAGCTTATAAAGAAGGTCCTATGATTTAGGGAATAACAAAGGAGAACAAGGTATTTGTACATAACCTTAAAAGATCCTGAATGAATCACTTATAGAATAGCAAGAAACATCACAGAAAATATGATTTTTTTATAATTCACTTGAGTGTTAAATATAGCTTGGCAATAACATATCATACCTAGAAAAATTCCTCGAGCATTTCTATAATAGGAACTCGTTATCGTCCTAAATCTCTCCTGCCCAGCTGTGAAAAAGTTGAAGGTTAGAAGTTTAATTGGACTGACATTACTACGTGTTCAAAGCTCAATATTAGAATACTCAATCTTGTAAAAATTAGGCTAGGATTTCAATTACAACTAACCGGTGTCCCATATTGTAAGCTTAAGTTTCTTCCCGCCAACTGTAAGATGCTTAATTTTGAAGTCCACACCTGAAATAAGAAAGAATTTCAGATAGTGAGATCCAACCGAACGCCTTTTTTCTCAAAATGATTAACTCCAAAAAACAACTGCTACTTTAAAAAATATCATCCATAACCAAACACTAGAGTAGTTAGCGACAATAATTTTATTTTTTTATTAAAAATAAAACGCATAACTACAATACATAGCAGGAATGCAAGCTACAGACATCACAATAAACCTATCTATTTTATAATGCTGTTAATTCTCAGGTTACATGGTCCATTTTCATTGTTTTTTCAAATATGAACAAAATTTGTTTATTCTATAATATGCAAGTTTATACACTCGCAAACAACCTCCTCGACTTAATAAGGGGCTACGAGTGAAGCTAGATACTTTATCTTTTGTCCATGAGTTGCATTTGCGAAAAAATAAGAAGCAAAACGTAAACCCCAAACAAACATTAAGGAAAATATTAGTAGATATAGAAAGAAATCAATTATGAGTAGAATCCAATAACCATCCTTAAGAATAATGAACAATGTTTTAAAAAGTTTCAATCGTCCATGCCACACTTCCAAAAATTAACAGCTAATTTCAAAACTAAAATTTTCTTGCATCCAAAATCGTACTTATAACCTATTAGAAGAATGTTGACAATGTAAATTTCCAGCATCATTAATAGTCTTATACAAACAGTTTATTTCTAATTTTGTGAATCTATGACCATTCGTTCTTATTTAGTTATCAACAAGTTACAAACTCCAATTTACACTTTTTGCTCTAGTTCTATATACGCTACCTTTGATCAACCCCCTTTCCTTATCATTCTTGTCAATCTATTCATCAACCTAATCAATGCATCTCCTGCCCACTTTATTCTACAAATTCAAACGCACCACATTAACTTTACATTCTATTCTCTTCCATAAATGCAATTTAGTCATCCGTCTAATACAATCATAATTTTTCAAATTTACAACACATTCGTCTTAAAAAATTTTAATTCTACTACACATAACTTGGTCATTGACGAGTAATGCAACACAAAGCACAAGAAACCATAAAGCATAGTTAATACCTATGATATTATCTTATAACATACAATATTAGGTAAGGTGCATAACTATTTTACAGACTAAACCTTAGCTCTAAAATAACTTTATCATCTAGCCCACTATAATGTGCATTAATTGACCAAGTAACATTGCCATTAGATCATTATCAACTATAAATCACAGTCAACTAAAATTGCATATCTACCACCATTAATTTTGAGTCCCTTTCCTTCAAACAAATTTATCAATGTTCTTTTGTTTGTTTACTACAGAAAGGTGCCTACTAAAATCATATCATCTACAAATAACATATACCTCATCTCAAATAACTATTGGAAGCACCTATATATCCAATACAAGAAAATTAAGTTTTTGATGCAAACCGAATATAAATCATATTATGATTAAAGAACACATCAAATTTCTTCACAATTGGCCAATGCTCTCTAAAAGACCCTAGCAAACTCCAACAATCTTTTACATCACTTCAAGAAAAGGATTTTTTTTACATTTCATAACTTGAATACAAAGCAATCAATTTATTCCCTTGTCCACATATCACATAGGAATATGATAATGTTAAAGTTGATATATTTTGAATGGGAATAACAAATATGCTATAATAAATAAGAACTTTCATAAGATTCACCAATTTATAAGCTTGTAAATGCGCACGTCAATGATACTACATGAAGTGTCGTAACTCGCCATTTCAATTTATTGTCCGCCTTTTAGAAGCCCAACACATTTTGATTTCATCCGAATTCTCCAAACTTCAATATTACAACAATGTCTGCCGCATTCTTCGTCCAAGAACTTTGAGATACATTCTAGAGTTAAGTTTCTAAATAGAGGCCATCACCTTATCCTTCATCTTAGTTAAGCCAACCTTCCCTCATACCCTATATCATATCTACCTATGCAGCCTGGTATTACAACTATAAAGATAACTCTACAATAGCTACATAGCCACTATAAAAAAATAAAAAAACTACACTTCAGAGCTAAATTAAATTCAAATTTTTGTATATAAATACAATTATTTTGAACCACAATGTTTATTCTGGCTAACATAGAGGGAGAAAGGAGTTTTTTAATTCTTTTATTATGGATTTGAGATTGCTGAAGAGAATGGAGACCTTTCAATCATTCATTTATTCTCTCTCCAAACTAAACTTTCTCCAGTGATATTTGGTACTTTCATTTGATCATAGAGATTTGTATTTCTTCTATTTGATATATATATAGAAATATTCATCAAGATTCAAGTAAATTGCATAATCTAGAGAGCTAAAATAAGGAAAATTTCAAGTTCCCTCCATTTCCTGAGCCTAATTTGCTATTTAAACAATTAAACATCCTTGTCTAAAGCACAACTGTTTCTTGTTATGGAACTTTCCTCTGCAATATTTCATCAAATTACATCCTTGTTTGGTTTGAAGGGTTGGGGGAAATAGAAAAAAAGAACCCCACAATTTGTATATTGGGTGTTTGATCTCTATATAATTAATAGATGACTTTATTTACCCATAGATTATTCATACCATCGCCAAAAAACATACTCCAACAAAGCAAAAATCCATAGAAATCACAGCTCACATGCACATAGACAAAGTAGCCTAACAAAAAGAAACTGAATTCATTTCATCAAATCATCAAATCCATCACCAACATCAATTCAACTCCAAACAAATGCTACCATAGGAACAAAATCATAAACAAATAAGAAAAATCCGCACCAATAGTAGGCGTCAGATCATCGACATAGTGGGAAATGAAGGTAACAGGCAGACTCCTCTTTCCCACCCCCGAATCGCCGATTAGAAGGATCTTGAAAGAGTAGTCATAGCCGCTTCCCAGTCCGGTTGGCGAACCCATCAATCTCCGTGTTCCAAAAAGCAGACCCCTCTTTCCTCCTTTCAGCGACAACCTATCGTCTTCCTCCTGGAAGCTCGTGGTGGTGGGACAGGTAGGTCAAGCGAGGGCGAATTGAATAATGAATATGTGAGGGTGGTAGAGTGATTGAGAGGGAGGGTGGAAAGAAAAGCAGAGCATCGGCATCTATTCTGCAGAGTGGGGAGAGAGAGAGAGAGGGAAAAAGGAAGGTGACATTTGGAAGCTTTTCTTTTACTCCATGGAGGTTCCCTCTCTCTCTCCGCCCCCACGCCATTTCTCCTCCGCCTCCACGTCCGTTCTCCTTCGCCGTTTTGGCTGTTTTTTCTTTCTTCCTGTTCTCTCCGGCTCACGGGTCGGGTCGAAACCCGATCTAAATAGGTTTGGTTCGGGTTACAGTTCAACTTGGGTCGGGTAGGCACAAATTTTGAATTGTGCTTAGCGATGGGCTTAAACGAGTTGAGTCGAGTCGAGTCAAGCTTGAGCCACTCTCATGGTGAGCTTGAACTTTGGGCCGACTCTTGTTTAGTAAGAAACATAAAAAAAATATTAATTTAAACTCAGATCATAATGAAATGATAAATATAATAAGTATTAGAGGAATAATTAATAAGAAATAACTTGATTTAAAATATAAAATAATAAATTTTTAATATATTTTTAGCACTTTAAAGAAAATTTATTATTCAATAGCCATTTATTGAGTCGAGCATGAGCCGGCTTACGAGTCCTCTTATACCCTTATGCTTAACATTCTTTAATGTTATAGGAAATTGAATCTAAAAATTTATGAAATAGCAATTTATTCTCATACAGTGATCAAAGCATAAAAACAAATAAGATTTTATGAATAATCAACAATAACATATATGTTTTTAAGCTATCAAGTTGAAAAAATAATTTATTCTAATTAGGTGCCTGGAAAAGCTCGTAAGCAAGAGTCTTCATTGTGATGAGCAAGGGACGTACAATGAGCTGTGGTCAATTATGTTTGGTGGTTGTATAGGTGGGTGACATTCGATTGACCTGTGTTATAAAACACTTAATCTTAATCCCTTCTCCTCCAAGCTCCATTCTTCCTCAGGTTGAAAGCCTAGACTTCTTTTTCATGAAAGTGGTAAGACTCTATTTATGGATTCTAGAATAAACATCCCAGCAAATAAGGAAAAAATTTGGACCACTCTGTTAAACAATGATCGAAAGGTGTTCGACGGACATTTGAGTGTTATAATGGTGTTAGAATTGAGTGATATTAGGCTTGTTAGATTCATCTCATCGGGATGTTTGATTTGACAATAAGCTTGTTAGATATAAAATCCAATTGACATTCCATTTAGGCATCATAAGCTTTCAAAAACAATTTAATAACTTAATCTGCCCTTAATCTAACTTGAATTGGACCAATTTTGGTTTGGTTGAGCCTATCTCCTCGAGCCGATTATTTTAACTATAACTTTGCTGAAATCTAAATTCTGAATAATATTTAATTGAAGTTTGAATGTTTTTTGCTTAAAAAATTATCTCGACATTCATGTCACACTTCAAAATCTATGTCAAGTGATGAGAATTTATTGATAGTGGATCAATCCTAATCAGTGTCATGATTGAACTTTTGCTTAATTACACTAACTACTAAACCATACATCCCCTCATCATTAGACATAATTATGAGGGCTTCCTTTGCCAGCTCTAAAAAACTCCAAAGTCACTCAAGTCATCAATGTCTTCTAACCTCTAAAGTTGAATTTTAACCTCTAAAGTCAATTTTTACATAAAATGATGATATTTTTTATATCATATCCACAAACCACTGCAAATCAGTTGTTTTCAAACAAGTCCCCCAAACAACCAGTAAGTCAATTTTTACATAAAATGATGATATTTTTTATGTCAAATTAGTTGTTTTCAAACAAGTCCCCCAAACAACCAGCCAGATTATTAAGATTAGCTGCTGATCAGCAGCTCATTAGGATAAGCTGAAGCTGGATAAGTTGCAGCTACCCCAAATAAACCCTTACTTGATATAAATGTAAAAAAATGTCAAATTTATGTGTTACTCGTGTAAATGCATTTGAATTGGGTGGTATGTATATAAACCCCTTTGTTCAGATCGATTAACCCGCCTATTTTAATTGGTGCATTTTAGGCACTCTGTAGTTATATTTTTCACTAATTTTCCTCATTTGATTAATTTTTCTCCATTTTTAATTTATTAAACTACCCAAATCTTAAACATTTACACAAATACCCCACAATTTTTATCTATTTACATATTTAGCACTATGCTTTTCTTTTTACATCCATACCACCCAAATCTTCAACATCATATCAAAACTTCCGGAGTTACTTACTTCTTAGGTGCATTTACACACATACCATCCAATTCCTCTATATTTACACGTCTAATACCTAAACACATATTAAATAAAAAATATCCCCATTTTAATATTTTCAGGCAAATCACCTTTTTAACTTATGGCACTAATGATGTATAATTGTAAATATCAAAATGTTAGGTGTTCCATACATAAATACATAAGAATATGTAAATGAATAAGAATTGTGTGTCTACACAAATACAACTATATATCGAACAAGAATTTTTATAAGGAGTCTGACATGGAGATTTCATCACATCGCGCAAGCTGCATAATCAAATTGTTTTCGCAAATTGAGCCCAACCGATGAAGTGGCTGACTTGAGCTCACTTGATGAAACCTGAAGCATGGTGATCTTTCTCTCTTGCAAGGGCAACCTAACCCGTCTAGAAATGGATAACTATTAGGGATGGTCATCATTATTTACAAGGACACAAGTTCACCCTTCTTTAAACAAGCCGACTAACACTTCTATCACTCTTTTCGTCGATGCATCACAGATAAGCGCAGTTTTTTATGAAATATGTTTTTTATCTTTATTTATTTGTTATGCATAAAAGGCATTAGTGAAAATATGAACATTTTCTGATTAATTCCGTATCTTAATTGAAGGGAATGCTCTCATTTAATTATGTTTTAAGCCTTTAAAACCTAGGTTGGGAATGCTCTAATTTAATTATGTATTAAACCTTTAAAACCTAGGTTTTTATATTTATTGTCATTCTTCTTTTTATATTCCATATAGAATCAAATTTGAATGTTCAGAATAATTGTCGACCACCACAAGTTACTATTGTATCCCAAGTATGACTTGGTAGCTAATTAAGGCTTATAGCCAACCAACCACGACAATGATAGCCTCACTATAGCTATTGAAGCTAATATGTAAGTTTTGTAGCCCAACAACTCTCGTTATAGTCTCCAACTTTAGATTTTATAGTCAATTATAACTATTATAGCGTCGTTACGACAATTATTACTCAACTAATGCTTTTATAGCCCTGCTACCATTGTTATAGCCTCAAACTACAGGTTACATAGCCAACTAAGACTATTGTATGCCCACTATGATTATTGTACTACAACTATAATAGTTGAAGTCCCAATTATTCTTATAAAACTAATATTCGTTGCGCTATTTCAAAGGATTTAAGATTTCAATATAATATTGTAATCATATATTTCACAATTAAGTTGAAGAGTGTAAATTTGTATCTCTGCTTGTATAAATGTACATAAAAATATGCCTGAGGAAATCCAACAGATCTCACTTATAAGCACTAAAGGATAGTGTATCGAGATGGTCAAAAGATGAAAATACCAAACATTATTTCCTTTGACCAGAACTTTGAGCAGACATAACAGAATATAGCCGAACGAAGAGAGAGATAACACCAATCCAGAGGACAGTTGTTCGTGACTAACTCCCTTGGACGATTTCGGAACTCCTCATAAAGATGACAAAATGGCACCCCACTGAACGCCTTTCTAATCCCTTGAGAAGGCCCCTTATCCAAGAAGAGTCTTGCCTTAAATTACAGTAATAAATCCTCTGGTTGATGATTTAAGTTCAACCTAACAACAAAAAGAGTCTCAACTCATGATTTCATTGAGATGTTCGATTGATAACTTTTCAGCCAACCAAATGTCTATAGGCTGACCAAAAGTCACTAACCGACCAAATGATAAAAGTATTGGGTCGCTCAATGCCTCTCTGCAAGTAGTTATGCATACAAAACAATGTTAATTGTCGGTTATGAACCTGAACGAGTGCTGGAGTCGGTTACAAATGTAAAAAGGTGTCATAATAACTTATAACATCCCTATTAAACATAAATAAATGTGTAGTTTTACACTAAATATCCTTAAAATCTAAAAATGATTGGTCATTTCTGCAATGAAAGACTCCTAAATTTACCCTCTCAAAACTTGAATTACTATGCACTTCATCTCCTCCCTCTCTCTCTCCCTCTTTCTCTCTTCCCTCCCATGCTCTATAACTTGGGCGAGATCTGCAAGTCATATTTGAATTCAGCAATAATTAATTTATTTTAACTCGTACATGATATGTTATTTTCTAAGGTTTCTCTACATAAAAATAGTTTCTTATATGTTCTTATGTATATGTGCCACGAAAAATTATGTAGAGCTAAAATTAAATATTTTTTTTTTCTACGGTTAAGAATTTTCTTATACTCGACAATGCTTTACATTACTTTTCAATCGATAAACAAATAAGTAAAATATATAAATAATGAGTGCCAGAAAATTCGCAGCAGCAGAGCGATACATTATCATCTTAACATTGACATTTAGAAATCAGTCACCCTAAACCCTTATACAACGTTGACAAATATTGTACAAGTTAGACTTCTAATGTATACAATTTTGACATATTCATGCATTGGTTTGTTAAACAACTAGTTAGATTGGTCTTTTACCTACAAACCATATAATTCTCATGTATTTACATTTCTAATATCTAAGATTTTATATTTAGGTGCATAATACATGAACTTTCAACATAAAAATTTCATAGTGTAAATATTAATTTTTATGTGTTAGACATGTAAATACATGAGAATTGTGTTGCATGCAAAATTAGACTCTGATAAATACTGATTAAAACTTTTATCATGAATTTTAATATTTATGTGAAAAATTAATTAGTGAGGATGACAATGGTTTTATAATGATTAAAGTGCCAAAATAATTTTGGACTATTTACATGAAGTCATTTTAGTCCCAGAGTTTATAGAAACGCCAAAATAATTCTTAGCCAGGTGCAATTACATGCCACGCGGTCCACATGAAACCTTGCTAGTTATAAATCAACCATCTTCTTTCATCGACTTTTTCACTCAAATATCAAAAATCATGATAAAGCCCTGTTGTGAAAAGCTACGAAAATAAAGCGAAAAACTTGATTGAGAAAAAATTGCGAAGCAGAAAATAAATAGCAGAAACACACAGATTTATATGGTTCAACAAATTGTCTACGTTCACGGAGCTGCAGAGAATTTTATTCGCTTGAGGAATTACATCCGTCGTTCACCTCGATGATTACAATTAAATACTCTTTCTCTCTTCTCTCCTTCTCTCTCTCTCTCTCTCTACACGAGAGCTTCAAACCGAAGCACACCAGAAGAATTTGGAAAGCTACCAATATCAAAGAGGACGCCTGTGAA